GTGTGTGTGTGTGTGTGTGTGTGTGTGTGTGTGTGTGTGTGTAGGTGAGGACCACTAATGTGAATTAGTTCTTCTGCTGTGAACCCCAGGGACAGAACTCAGGCTGTCAGGCTTGGTGGCAAGCACTTTACCTACTTATCCATCCTGTCAACCTAGCGCTCATCACTCCTTTCTCCCTTCACTTACCCCTCCTGGAATGAGCATGCCGTGTTCTGCATGCCTGGTGTTTGGGGAGCACATAACTTATTCTGGTGTCAGAAGTCCACAAGTAGGAGGAATCTTCATCAAGTCTCACCCATACCTGGTTTTTAGATGAGACTGTGGACTTGATACTGATGTTGGAGTTGGTAAGAATTTAGGAGTGGTCAAAATGAAGGGGAATTATTTTACCTGTGAGAAGGCTATGAACTTGGAGGGGGCTATAAGCAAAATATTGCGGACTGAGTTGTGTCCCTTCTCTAGATTTCTATGTTGGAGCCCTAATTCCCAAACAAAGACTGGAGAAGAAGGGAGGTAAGGTAGGTCGAGTGAGGATGCATGCATAGGCTCTGAGCTGAGAGAATGGGGCTCCTTTAAAGGCAGGAAGGCAGGCGCTGAGGAGGAGATGGCCCAGCTGGTAAAGCGCTTGCTCTGCACACATGCGGGCCTGAGCTCGTGTAAGAAACCCAGTGCGGTTGCACTCATCTGTAACCCCAGTGCTGGGAAGGCGGAGAGGGGAGGAGGACTCCTCGGACTCTCTGGCCAGCCAGTCTGGCCACACGGGTGAGCTCCGGGATCATCTATTGCTGTGAAGAGACGCCGTGAACACAGAAATTTTTCAAAAGGAAAACACTTAAATGGGACTGGCTGTCAGAGGTTCAGTCCGTTATCGTCATGGCGGGAAGCGTGGCAGTGCACAGCAGACACGGTGCTGGAGAAGGAGCGGAGAGTTTTACATCCAGATTGGCAGGTGGCCGGAAGTGGACTGTTAGCTGGTAGGCCTGGCTTGAGCATTCTGGGACCTCAAAGCCCACCCCCTAGTGGCACGCCTCTTCCAACAGGGCCGTGTCTCCTAACAGAGACACTCCCTTGGGCCTATGGGAGCCATTTTTATTCAAACCACCAATGTCTTGCTCAAGGTTTGAGGGAATACAGTCCGTTGCTGCAGGGAAGGCACGGCAGCAGGCGTTTCAGCAGCAGCTAACCTTCAATCTGCAGTCAGGAAGCAGAGACGGTTGAATGCTGGTGCTCAACTCCCTTCCCTCTTATCGGTTCGGGACCTCAGCCCATGTGATGGCACCACCCACATTTAGTGCGCATCCTCCTACTCCAATTACCCCAATCTAGGGACTCTCTCACAGGCATTGTCTCCTCGGTCTTGTCCAGTTGACCATCAGTACTAACCATGCACACACAGCCACAACAAGTGTCCACCCACAGAAACGTGAGAACAAGTACATACAGGCACACGCGCACGCATGCACGCACACACTCTGTAAACAGTAAAGTAAGAAGAAGTGTCCTGTAAAGACCACCTGTGGGAAACTGGTCCTCAGTCAGCGTGTCAGCAGATGGAGTGTGAGACTGTGATGTCAGCAGGGGGCCTCCTGCCGAAGCCCTGTGAAGTCACCGCAGGAGCAGTGCTGGTGCTGAAGCTTGGTGTGTGACTCCGGCTGTGTTCACACACATGGTCCCTGCTTCTGTGAGTCCCTTCTCTGCAGCTCACATTCTCAGAAGGTTGAGGGGTTACTCTGGGGATCCCACCTACAGCTTTGTGCTGAATAATTTTATATTAACTTGACACACGCTGAAGTCATCTGAGAGAAGAGAACCCCCATTGAGAAAATGCCTCCTTAAGATCAGGCTGTAGGCAGGCCTGTAAGTTCTTTTCTTTTCTTTCTTTTGTTTTTTTTAAAGATTTATTTATTTATTATATACACAGTGTTCTGTATATACAGTTTTCAGGCCAGAGTGGTACCAGATCTCATTACAGATGGTTGTGAGCCATCACGTGGTTGCTAGGAATTGAACTCAGGACCTATGGAAGACCAGCTAGTGTTCTTAACCTCTGAGCCATCTCTCCAGCCCTGAAGGTAGTTTCTTAATTCATGATTGATGGTGGAAGGCCCAGTCCATTGTAGATGGAACCATCCCTGGGGGGGTGGTCCTGGGTTCTATAAGAAAGCAGGCTGAGCAAGCCATGAGGAGCAAGCTAGTAAGCAGCGCCCCTCCATGGCCTCTGCATCAACTCCTGCCCCCAGGTTCCTGCCCTGCTTGAGTTCCTGCCCTGACTTCAATGATAAACAGTGGTATGGCAGTGGAAGCCAATTTAACCCTTTCCTCCCCGATTTGCTTTTGGCCATAGTATTTCATCGCGGCAATAGTGACCCTAACTAAGACAAGCTTCAACATCACTTCCTGGGGAAGCCCTTCCTAATTAGCTAGCCTTGGGTACCCTGAGGCTTCCTATGGTACTAAACAATCATAGACTGGCTTGATGATTGGGTCTGTCTTTGTAGAGTCGATGTCCCAAGACCTGGCTGGGGAATATCTGAGGGCCATGCCTCAGCCAGTCCCAGAGAGTCCTTGTTTTAGAATAGAGCCACATGTTTAAAGAGCCTGAACCTGCCCAGAGCTGCTGCCTCTTGTGAGTCAAACCAGCCAAGTCATGACGGAGCTGAGCACTTGAGGGGGCAGCAACAGCGACTTCCAGTTGACAAACTAGAGTCGCCTGTGAGGAGAGAATCTCAGCTTAGGAATCACTGTATGAGACTGGCCTGTGGGGCATATCTGTGGGGCATTTCCTTAACTGATAATTGGTGCAGGAAGGCCCAGCCCACTGTGGGCAGCGCCATCCCTAGGCATATGGGCCTGGACTGTATAACAAAAATAGATAAGCAAGCCAGATGTGGCAAGCCAGTAAGCTGCATTCCTCCATGGCCTCTGCCTTGAGGATGTAACCTGTAAGCTAAATAAACCCTTTCCACCCCTAAATGGCTCCGGGGATAGTGTTTCATCATGACAGAAAATAAACGAGAACAACAACTCTTGAGTGGGGCTGTAGCACAAGCTATACCCTGTCCTGCCTGTCCCTAGCTGTGTGACACTCCTGCTCTGGTGTCAGTCTTCTCCCCCTGCATGAGATCGTGATAACAGGAGAGCATCCAAGGGTGTCTTAGAAACCATCAGCCATCTGTCACGTGTCTATCAGGAGCCACAGTCCAGGTCCCTGGGAGTGTGGGAGCGCTCCGAGGTCCCTGGCCACCAGCCTTATAGTTAGTGAGGAACTGACAAGTGGCCACCAAAGTGTTAAATGTTGACACTCTCAGAACAAGTGTCTGAGGCCTTCACTGTCTGATAACTTCTAGGACAGTCCAGATCAGGATGGGTGAGGACAGTGCAGGTACCAGGCTATAAGTGACACGCCAGAGGGGACAGTCATATCAGACTTGCAAAGGGCTGAGATGCAGAGGGGCAGTCCCTGGCATCAACGCTAGTTTTGACGCCCTGCCTGTGACCACAGCTGGGTCCTTGACTGCACACACATCCATCTTGCCAGCATCACACGGGACTGACTATGGTGGGATGTGGCAAGATCTGCCCCATCAGTCTCCCCCGCATTGGTCATTCACTTTACACACAGTAATGAGATGACAAATCAGGAGTGATGTGTCTATGGGGGATTCTACGTCCCAGACTGTCTTGGGGTGGTCTCAACAACACATCTCACAGAAGCAGCCATGGCCACAGCTATAGTCACAGAGGCTGAAGTGTGTAGTAGTCCCACGGTAGTTGACATTCAAGCCTTCTCTAGGAATTTAGTGTATGGAAAATGCACACAGCAGGTGCTACATAAGTGCTTGCTGTCCTTGCAGCAATTGCCACCTGGTTGCACTTGCTCTGAGAAGTGGGACAGGCCTGGACACCTGTCTTAGTTAGGGTTTCTATTGCAGTGAAGAGACATCATGACCACAGCTACTTTTTTGTTTGTTTGTTTGTTTTTGAGACAGGGTGTCTCTGTGGCTTTGGAGACTGTCCTGGAACTAACTCTTGTAGACCAGGCTGATCTCGAACTCACAGAGATGCCACAGCTACTTTTATAAGGGAAAACATTTAATTAGGTGGCTTACAGTTCAGAGGATTAGTCCATTATTGTCATGGCGGGACATGGCAGCACACAGGCAGACATGGTGCTGGAGAAGGAGCTGAGAGCTTTACATCTTGATCCCACAGGCAACCGGAAATGGTCTGTGTGGATTGAGCATCTATGAGACCTCAAAGCCCACCCCCACAGTGACACACTTCCTCCAACAAAGCCACACCTCCTAATAGTGCCACTCCCTATGTGGGGGCCGATGTCATTCAAACTGCCACATTCCCTTTCCTTCTCTGCACGCTGCCACCTGTCCTGGCCCGCATTTCTCACCTGACTGGGAATCAGGTCTTAGAGCCACCTGTCCATATGAGCAGAAGGCTACCTTGGCCTGCTTTGCACCGGAGGAACGGTCTTGCCTTCAGAGTCTCCTATGGGAAGCAATCCAGACCAGTGGGCAGTTCTCCGGTTCTCCGCCTGTACCCAGCCCTAAGCCAAGCCTGCTGTGCAGAAGCTCAGCCCACCCCATCCCTTAGATGCCAAAGAGGCATTACTGCTCTGATCCCATCCATGGTGCTCAGTCGAGTCAGTGTGCAGGCCTGGTCCCCATGACGTGACAACAGGCCACTGCCTGTCCAAAAGACTACCGAGTCCCCTGGAAGAATGACTTTAGGATGTCACCCAAACCAGACAGACAGTCACTAGTGCATGGGCTGGTGAGGTTTTGCAACTGTCCTCTCTCTCTCATGTGTTCCCCTAAGCCCCTCCCCCCACTGGTGGCCCCTTCTGCCTGTGGCCAGCAACTGGTGGTTGTGTTTAAGTGAGTAATTTGGCCCCCGTTTAAGGAGAGGAAGTAATAATAGTGGCCTTAATTGTCCAAATTACTGCTGCCCCTCTGAGTTTGACATTTGCCTAATGACAGCAGATGGAAACCTGACCTGAGGCCCAGGGCTGGTGGGCAGTGATGACTCTTCCTGGGAGTGTCCCCAAAGTCAGCCAAGCCTCTGCTGGCCGTGGCCCTGGAAGATGAACCTCTTGGCCCAGACACTTGCAAACCAGAGCGCAGAGAGGGAGCCACTGTCTTAAGTGGGACTGGAGACAAGAAACCCACCTTCTACTATTTGGTAAGCTTTCTGTTTGAACCAGACAGAGCACTGCCCATCCAAAATTGAAGAATGGATCCCTAACCCTTCAGCATACCCTGTTCTTGCTCCTGATGGTTGTTGGTACATGACATTTAGGTGAGACTCCTGTAGTACTGGCTGGAGTCCAGGTGGGGTGCCTGCTGTACTGACTCCCAGATGAAAAATGCATGTTTGCACTGGCATCTGTCTGAGTGAGAGAACCTGCTGTATTGGCATCCAGGTGAGAAACACCTGCTACACCAGACTTCAAGTGAGGCATCTCCTGTATTGGTGTCTAGGTGAGAAGAACCTGCCACACTGGAGTCCAGGGAGATACTCCTACCATGCTGAAGTTAAGGCCAGACACTTGCTATGTTGATATCCAGATGAGACACCTACCAAGCTTTCATCCAAGTGAGACACCTGCTGTATCAATATCCAGGTGAGATGCTGCCCCGCAACACCCAGATGACCGTACTTGCCATGTGGCATTCGTGGGAGACACCTGCCACACTAATATCAGGTGACACATGCCTGCTCTACTTGGCACCCAGCAGATCCACGTGTGGTACTATTGTCAGCTACCATCAGCTGGCAGTACCTTTGCCATGACGTCATGCAGGCGAGTGAAGCCTTGACATGAGACACTGCTGTCTGTGGGCTTAACACTGAGTGCTTGGAAGTTCCAGGTCATGGGACTTCATGGGTCATAGCTTCTGAAAGCTAGAGAGAACACATCAGGCTACACATCGCGTCTACCCACACACACCCTGTGGCCCTATATGAGCCCACTGCCACCACTATCATCAAAGAGCGGATGTCTCACCAAAGACTTCCCCAGAGGGCCTGAGATGGCACTGTCTGGTCATGCTGACTGTGAGCACACCTCTCCCACTTCGGCACAGGGAACAGAGGGTCATCTAACTGAGAGGCCCAGGAGGGTTTCTACAGGCCCAACAGGCCCCAGGGGTGACCTAGAAGCAGCTCCCACCTGCCTCCAAGATCATGCGGGGGAGTCCGGGCGTTGGTGGCGCACGCCTTTAATCCCAGCACTCGGGAGGCAGAGGCAGGCGGATCTCTGTGAGTTCAAGACCAGCCTGGTCTACAGAGCGAGTTCCAGGACAGCCTCCAAAGCCACAGAGAAACCCTGTCTCGAAAAACCAAAAAAAAAAAAAAAAAAAAAAAAGATCATGCGGGGGATCTCTTGGGTACAGGAAAAGGCCAAGAGCAGCAGAGTCTGGGGAATCAGAGCCCTAAAGGGGTGGTCCCGCTCCTGCATATTTGAGGAACTGAAACTACCCCCACCCACTGGGGCTGAAGCCACGGGTGTCACAGGAGTCACTGGGGGCTCAGGTTCCCTGCTTGGGGGATCCATGATACTGACTCTGACCCAGAGCTTGAGGGCTGGGCGTCAGACTCGGGATGTTCAGACATGTAATGAGCATGCTGCTTCCTTCACTCCTGGTGACCCAGCTGCTCATTCTTCCTTCCTTTTCTTTTATGTATAATACATGTATTTGTGTGTGTACACACAGAGATTGGAGGACAATCTCTATGTCATTGTCGGGAACACTGTCAACTTCCTCTGAAACAGGGTCTCTCATTGGCCCAGATGTCGCCAGTTAGGCTAGAATGGCTGGCTATTGAGCCCAGGGATCCTCCTATCCCCAGGTCCTAAGCATTGGGATTATAAGCACACATCACCACCATGCCTGGCTTTTCACAGGGTCCTGGCGCAAAAGCTAAGCCCTCATGCTTGTTCAGCAAGCCCATTGCCAAAGAAGCCATCTCCCCGCCACAGCCAGCCCCTTCCCATCTGTGTTTCTGACAACTCTGAGCTCTGCCGTTGTCCTGACATGGTGCTAGGGTGCAGAGATGCTAACCTCATGCTGAGACACTGCAGTTCCTGATCCAGACCCACCCATACTACTCACTCAGCAGCCGCTCCTGGCTGTGCGGAAGGTGAGGGCCTGTAACACTTCCTCTGTTCATGCCTCACGCCTCCATGCACCTCAGGCTCTCCCTATAGGGCCAGGCCTGGAGACCCCTGTGAGCCACCTGTCCCTGTGTCTGAGGGTCACTGTGTGTTTCCTGACTCCCCCCCGCTTCAGAGGTGAGGGGATACAGACCCGCAGAGTCCATGAGATCACATGGGATCTGAGACCTCAGGCGGGGGTGGCTAAGAGTCTTGCGTGCCTGTAAGGGGGTCATGGAGGTCCTGGGCTTGGTGAGCAGGAGGCCTTGTCCAGCCTGATGAGACTCCCATGCTTGTAGAAACTCACTACAGACTGGGAGAGAGGAGTATGGGGGTTCTAGTGGGGTACTGTCTATCTTAAGTACCAGTCCTGGGGAAGAGGAGGAACTAGTGGGCTACTGAGCTTGTCCCAAGTACCAGTCCTGGGGAAGAGGTCCCACTGACCTCACACCACACCACAGCCTCTTAGCTTCCATAGAGGGCAGGGGAGGGCACCCTGAGGACAGGGGACCTTGCAACAAGTAAGACTCCTCAGCCTGAGCCCACAGCTAGGAGACCTAGGGTCTGGGGCCACCCAAAGCTGTACACCTTGGAAACTGGACTAGTCTCTGGAATGCTAGACTAGAGCAGAGTGTCCCCATAACCATACTTTAGAGTAGACTAGCATCATCAAAGGCACCCATCTCCAGGCATTGCAGGGAGGAGGCATGGGCTGGCAGGGGTGGGAAGGGACTCAAAGATATGTCCAAGCTCACTCAAACCCCCTTGGCCTGGAACCTATTTAAACACTTTAGCCACTGGTTAAAAACGCATCCTCCCGGCCACGAGACAGCTGGGGCCTCTGGAAGAGCATAAAAACCTCCAGCTGACACTCGGTCACCTTTATTATACACAGAAGCCCCTCATCTCCGGCCTCTTGAGAGGCTCTCCAGCCAGGCTGCTGCTTGCCCTTGATCTGTGCAGTGTAATAGGAGGGCTTCCCCACCCATCCAGGGAGAATCTTCCACAGCCTGAGCTGGAAGACCCTGGCTCCTAAGACCTCCAGTCAGGTCACGTCTGTCTCCAGGAATGAATTAGGAGCAAGTTGGCCATGGTGGGCAGGGCCACTGCAAAACAGCCCAAAGGGATGGGACAGTCACGCTGCTCTCTGAAGCATTGTCCCCCACACTGCCAACCGCCCGGGGGACTCTGGCGTAACTGTGCATCTGTTCCGCCGTACTCCATCCACAGCTGCATGTATGTAGCACGCATGGAGGAAGGTGATGTATCAAGCTGCAGAATTCCGAATTCTCTCACCCTCATTGTCTGCCGTGTGTAACCTGGAACAAACACGATCCCTGCCCATGTCCAGGCCCACCGTGCTTTCCTATGTTGAGACATGCCTTTAAAGCGGAAGTGCAAGGGGCTGAGGAGACAGTTCAGCTAGGTCACTTGCCATTCAAGTGTGAGGACCAGAGTTCGGATTCCTCAGAAATCGTTTAAATGTTGGGTGGGTGAGGCAGTCTTGCAAGGTGGAGACAGGGGATCTCCAGAGCCTTGGCAGTCTTACCAGCAAGCTCTGGATTTACTTGGAGACCTTTCTTGGTGAACAAGGTGAAAGAGTGATTAAGGGTTATTCTTGACATTAACCTCAAGCCTCCAAGTGCATGAGTACATGCACATGTAAAAACATTCGTGCACATACATGCATAACACACACACACACACACGCACGCATGCACGCATGCACACACTCACGGCTCACACGCATGAGAAACTAACTGGAGTCAAAACTAACTTCCGGGCTGGAGAGATGGCTCAGAGGTTAAGAGCACTGACTGCTCTTCCAGAGGTCTTGAGTTCAATTCCCAGCAACCACATGGTGGCTCACAGCCATCTACAATTCAATCTAGTGTATATGTAATAAATAAAAAAATCTTTTTAAAAAAGATTTACATGCATGAATAGAATACATTTAAAAAAAACTAACTTCCTCCTGCATCTTTTAATTGTAGTCGCAGTGTTACATGGAAGCAGGCATTCCATCTTTTTCATGAATGAACTCTAGCTGAGATCTCCCTTTCTCCTCCTTCTTCTGATCAGCCAGCCCCACTGCAGGTGAGCAGCCTCTGGGAGTCACAGCCCTCTTCCTACATCCGCGTTAGATGAGGGAGGAGGACCAGCAGTTCATAGTTAGCAGAGCCTACTCTCATACCTCACACTACTCCACAGCAAGTGCCCTCACCCAATACCGGATGACACACATCTGGGTCAGGCTGATCTCTGCCAGGCCCTGCTGCAAGTCATAAACGTGTGTGAGCAAAAACAAGCACACGTTCCAAGCTTTCAGAACTGATGATGAGGAATGTCAAGAGGAGACATTTGCAGAAAATGCATTCGTTTGTGTGAGATGGGGGCTGTGAAGAAAATCGTGTCATAGAGTAGGGTCTACATTCTACATCACGTGGTTCTGTAGGTGACGTGGGTCAGAGACATGTGGGGTGTACTAGGCCTTGGGTTCAGATAGCGCAGGGATAAGGGATACAGCAGCTGTGCTCATCAGGGTACAGGGCCAGCAGCTTTGGTGCCTGTTCCATGTTTTCCACTCATGGGCACAAAGAAGCTGCCATAGTTCCAGACATCACATGCACACAGAAGTGTGGTTCTTGGGAGGACACGCCTCTTTCTGATGTCCTTGTGGAGTTTGTCTATCTACCTCTCCCACCGTCCTTGACTGAAAAATGAGAAAGGGTGAAAAGCAGGGCCTCGAAGTGTGGAGAACTGGACCAGTAGGGACTTCTCAGAACCCCCCAAATGCATTTGACTCCTCTCTCCCAAGGTACCTCTCAGGACTGAATTCTGGGGATCCCATGGTCCCCTGGGTCCCCTGTGCTGAAGGTAACAGGGAGCCCAGAAGTAGAGAGTGTTTGGCAGGGTGGGAGCGGTGCAGGACCCCCAGGGGCTGGACAGGGGAGTCCTCCAGGTGTTCTAACACTTGTGATTGTGATGGGAGAAGAAACAAACACTTCAGTGAATAGAGGGAAACAAGCCCAGACCTTGGAACTAATTGTGTGTAGACTTGAGAACTAATGAATCAGGTGTGGCCATGTGAGACCTCTTCTTTCCTCCCCGAGGTACCCAGCCTTTGCACTGATGCTACAGCCCAACCTCTCAGCATTGGCCCAGGGCCTTTGCACTCAGTGTTTCCTAGAACACTTTCCCCCAGACTCCAGTCCACAAAGCTCCTTATCCCCCCCCAATTCCCCTCTTTTGCAGGAAGTCCAATCCATCCCGATCTTCTCCTCCAGGGACCTCCCTCCTCAGCGTGGACTCTTCTCTGACTCCATCACCTCTTGTGTTCTCAGCCTCCACACTGAACCTAGCTTAGGATGGATGCCCGAGAATTCATTTGTTTCTTGCTTTTAAGTCTTTATTCCATTCCATTACTTATGTGAGTGTGTGTGTGTGTGTGCATGGTCTATGTGTGTATGAGTGTGTGTGTGAACGTGTGAGTGTGTGTGTGCATGGTCTATGTGTGTATGAGCGTGTGTGTGTGAATGTGTGTGTGTGTGTGCATGGTCCGTGTGGAGGTCAGTTTTCTCCTTCTACCACATGAGTCCCAGGGATGCAAACTAAGGCGGTCAGGGTTGGAAGGCTTCACCCACTATGTCACCTTTATAGCTCTCATTCACTCTTCATCTGTCCATTCAAAGGCCAATGGTTTGTGCTGGCAGGGGAGGCAGGGTCCTTAGCATCCTCCAGCAAGCTCCCTTTGTCAAGGAGACAGTCACAGACACAGTAAATGCCCGGCAAGCCTGGAGGGAGGAAACTTGGAGGCTCCTGCTACATATGTAGAGGAGTGGGCTCAGCAGTAGCAGCCAGGCACAGGCACAGGTGGAGGCCGGGGAGTGTTGAGTGCACGTTTGGAATTCTGTCCCCAGCTCTGGTGGGAAGGAGGGTGTCTGGTGGGTTGCACTTTTATCTTTTCCCCCTGTGGACAGAAACACCCCTGGTGGTCCCAGGCCTGGCTCCCTGTGCTGGGAGGGGTGTCCCCAGAATCAGGTGCACAGGGTGAGCCCTTGCCTCCCCCGGCCTTCCCCTCTCTAAGCCCTGTGTTTACAAGAGCAGCCCACAAATCACCAGCCTGTGCTAATGGAGCCTGCCCATGGGCCTCTGACAGCCCAGGAGGCTTTTAGGGAAGGCCTTTGACTCCAGGGACCAGCAGTGGTCGTGGGCACGCTCTCCCCTCCACCCCCCCACCCCCGCCTCAGCACAGGCACAAAGGGAGAGAGAGGACGGTCAAGAAAGCAGAGGCCCACCACGTACACAAGTACCAGTGGTGTGGCTAAGGCCCACACGGCCTCAGATAAAGGATGTCGAGAACACAGTGGGAAGGCTCCTGAGAGGACCAGAGTGGCAGGTGTCAGGCTCTGCCAGTACCTCTGAGGGCTTGTATGTTCCAAACATGTGGACATAGTGTAAAGAAGTTACCACGTGACCCACACAAGCAAAGCCACAGTCCCATTATCTCCCCCAATACCTTAGTAATTAATCCATTTGAAGGCTGAAGATGGGACCTTTGTCTCTCCAACCCTGGGATATGTCACCTGGTAAGATATGCTGGTAAAAGGGGCATATCACTTTCAGCTTTTTGAGTAATTTCTTTTTTAAAAAAAAAAATTGGTTTCTTCTTTTGTTGTATATATTATATATGGAAGAAAAAACACGTATGATTACAGGTAGTCAGGACTAATCTCAAACTCCTTATGTAGCCAGTAATAACCTTGAACTTCTGATCCTCCTGCCTCTGCCTCTCTACTGCTGGGATTACAGGTGTGCACCACCATGGTGATCTGTTTTTATTTTTTGTGACAGGGTGTGATAGCATTGTTTGCCAACTTGTTGAGATTTAGAAGCAACCGGCAGAGAGACCTCTGGGGGATTATCTTGATTCTACTAATTGCTGTGAGAAGACCCGTATTGACTGTGAATGGGTGTTCCCTTGGGCAGGGGGTCCTAGACTGTGTAGCACAGAGAAAGTGAACTGAGCCTGAGGGCATCCCTCCGTGCTTCCTGCCTGTGCATACCATGTGACCAGCTGCTTCTGGCTCCTGCTGCTCTGACTTCCTGCCAGGGTGATCTGTACCTTGAACTGTGAGGTGAGATTAACCCCCCTCCCTTAAATCGCTTTTTTCAAATTCCCTTTCTTTTTAGTTTCTGTTTGCCTACATGTATGTCTGTGAACCATATTCATGTGGTACAGACCAGAAGAGGGCATCAGATACCCAAGGACTGGAGTTACAGATGTCTGTGAGCCACAGTGTGGGTCCTGGGGATCGAACTCAGGTCCTCTGGCAGAGCTACCAGTGCTCTTAAAAGCCCCCTGAAGTTACTTTTGTCAGTGTATTTTATCACAGAAACAGGAAAAGAAACTAAGACGTAGGTCTCACTCTGTAGCTTAGGCTGGCCTGGAATGCAGCAATCCTCCTGCCTCAGACTCCTAAGTATTGGGATTACAGGTGTGAGACACTATTCTAACTTCCATTCATTTGCCCATGAGTCGTTTCTGCTCTTGTAAACAATGTCATTATGAACTTACAGGCTTTTGGATGAAGACATGCTTTCTATCCCCTTGAGCTCAGGCCTGGGGTGCTTTCCTTTGTTGGATGGCAAGTCCCTGGTTAATATCTGGAGGAATTGCCAAGATGTTTGCCACTGTGTCTGCATGTGCCAGACATTTCAATAATGGGATGTATTCCAATAATGAAATGCATTCCTCTTAGCAACAAGGAAGACTAGGAGTGTGGGCACTTGCAAAAGCCAGAGTCCCCGGATCCCTCTGGAACTGGAGGGACTGTGAGCATCTTAAGTGGGGGTTGGGAATTAAATCAGGGCCTCTGCAAGAGCATCAAGAGCTCTTAACTGCTGAGCCATCTCTCCACACGGCCCCCTTCCCCTCCATCCCTCCACCCTCACACCCCGCTCCCCTGAGCACCGCTGCTCTAAAGAAGTCTGGTTTAAAACCGAGCTCTCATCTTTACCGGCAAGTTTTAAGAGCTCTTTATCTGCTCTGGGCACAAAACCTTTATCAAGTTCATGATTTGTAAATATTTCCTCCTACTCTCTGGGTCATGTTTCTGCATTCTCGACAGCATCGTTTGAAGCACACGGTCTCTCATTTGGATCCAACCCATTCATCCATTTCTTTTCATTTGTTCCTCCTGCATTTTGGTGGCGTATCTGAGAATCTATCATCAGATACAAGGCCACAGAGACTTACTATGGCTCCCTAAGAACTTGGCGGCTGCATCTCCTGTGTCGTGTCTTTGATCCGCTTGGAGTTAAGTTTGCACGCAGTGGGCTTGTATATCGTTCTTGAAAATAAGCGTGTGTGTGCAGCGGAATACCTTGAAGTGCTGGTTTGTGAGAGCCTTCAGGCCTGGCTTAGGTTGCCTGTGACTTTGTCTCACCACAAGGAACCCAGCGTCTACCCATCTTCTGGTTTCCTCCTCACCCAGCTCTGGACCTGAGAGTTAGGGACCATCCTTCTTGGGTCAGGAAACTGAAGAGCTGGTAACCAGGAGACACCAGAGGGACAGAGTGAACTGCAGTGCTCATGCTCTTTCCACAGGCTCCTCCCCTCCCCCATGCCTCTGCCATCAAGCTGGTCTAGTAGGACGGTCCTCCTCGTCCTTGACCTCCTTCTCGTCCTCCTCATCCTCCTCGTCCTCCTTGTCCTCCTCCTCCTTCTATAGAGCCTACTGACCGTGTAGCTGATTGTGCTGTTTGCCATTTGGTGGAACTAGCAACAGCATGTCCCACACTTTCCAAGTCATTGGCTTCATCCGTGGAGAGGAAAGACAGAGGGAGGGAGTTACATCAATTGCTCCCTCGCAGAAGCGGCTTGGGCCTCTGAGTGGGGTGGGCCTTTGTGATACCTGGTTCGCTGTGCACTCTGACATCTACTAGAGAGGGCCCCAAGTCTAGCATCTGGGGGACAGGCAGGCTGTTGGTGCAGGAAGCACAGCAGAGAGGCTAGGCTATAGGTCCTGGTTTGAGCTGCCTTTCTCCCGCTCTGGCCCGGTACCCTCCTTGTCCTCAGGGTCACAGTGCCTCATCTGTCAAGCCTGAGGCTGGGCTGGACCTGCACCCGGCCTCGGACTACGATGCTAAGTGCTGCCCCAGTTAAGGTGGCCACACAATCTCCAAGTCTGTCAGAGACCCTGGTAGCCCAGTGAGTGATGGCCCCAGGGGATTGACCAGCTGCCTGGGTGTCCCATAAACACAGCCTTAAAGTGGCTGGTGACATCCATCCATCTTGCCATTGAGCTGTGTCCTGGTGGCTCTCTCTGACACAGCCTTGGCCCCTTCTGGGTGGTGAGATGGGGATAGCAATGGGGTTGTGGATGGATAGTTCCCCACAGCGGGCGGGCGGCCGGGCACCTAAGGTGCTGGGACAGCTGTGTGGAGGCAGTTTTGTGATGCCAAGCACCTATCCTGAGCTCTACTGAGTAGGCCTCTGCCCCTGAAGCTGAAGCCACAGCCTTGGGGCCTATCTCCTGACCGTACTCAGGACACCAGCCCTAGCCTGGCACAGGGGAGGGGGACAGCAGAGGAGTGGGAACATGGTGGAGGGGGTGACAGAGGGGTGGCAACTGTGAACAGTCAGGACTCTCAGGAGTCGAGATATAGGATGTCTATGTTTCCTTATTCTTCCAGGGAGCCCCCCCAAAACACAGCACACAGACCTTCCCCCTTTCTGCATCCCCTGAATCTGATGCCTCCCCACTTCTCCTCCTCCCTCCCCTCCCCCTTCCTCTACCTTCTCCTTCCCTCCCCCTTCCCCCCTTCATCTCTCTTCCTTATCTATGGAAAGAAAAGATAGAGGGAGGGAGGGAGGAGGGTGGGGGAGGGAGCCACATGTCACTTGGTTAATTCTAGCGTATCACCCCATCATATTCTTTGTAGGACATGCTAGAATTTTCCTGTTTCTTGGCTTTGCCTCTGATTGGACCCTGACTTATTCTGTCCTTTGTTGTGAACCTGGGGTGCCATGGACCTTTGAGAAGTCTAAGGAGGCTCCTAGAGCTCTGCTGGGATCACCAGGCTTTCATCACAGGTAGCTGACTAAAATTCAACTCTGCACCACATGGTTTCAGACCTGGCCTGGGGCAGACCGTCACTGGGCAAGTAGTGAGGTGTCCTCATACCTAACCTGGCTCGCCCTGGTGCCACCCGTTGACACTCTATAACCGCCTCAGCAGGCAGCACTCCCCTGGGTGGCTGCGAGTGGAGGCAGCCTTAGCACCCTCACAGGGGCCACCTCACAGCCCTGGCAGGAGCCAGAGCCTCCTCTGAAGACTAGGAAACAGAAGCCCAGAGGGATCAGCAGCGCTTTGGGAAGAAGCGGTGGGGTGCGAGTTAGCTCCAGAGCAGCCTTCTGTCTGTGAGAATGGAAGATCTGAGCATGCTCAGCCCATCACACCGATGTCTTCACAGAGCCTCCTTGCCTGGTAGGGCATGGGGACCCGGGGCCTGCCAAGCCAGCTCTTCGGGGCTGAGGAAAGAGGATCACAAGTGCACAGGCTGCCTGGGCTGCAGAGCACGTTGATCCAAACATGGAAAATTTAGTGAGGTGCTGTCTCAGAATGAAAGGGCTGTGGCTGCGCCTCAGTGAACAGTGGCCAAGGACACACAAAGCTCTGGGTTCCCACCGGCGTGTGAGCACAAGAGGCTGTATCTGTCTCCGAGATATACCCTTGAGACACGGTCTGTCGCTAAACCTGGAGGTAGGCTAGTTGCTAGCAAGAACCAGCAATCCTTCTTGCCTTGCTGGGGTTGCAGGCACTAAAGGCTGTGTGAGAGCTAGGACTTTGAACTGAAGTCCTCATGCTTATCCACTGAGCCATCTGACCAACCTCCCAAACCTTTCTTGCCTTATGTCTAGGACTGGCTGGGCCAAGATGGGGAAGTCATCCATCCCATTTCCCTTGCCCCAGTCCCAAGGGTGAGCCCATGCCACCACCCTTCTACCTGTCCCCAACCCGGACTGAAGCAGGAGGCCATGGGTCTCACTCTTCTGGCTCCTGCCACCATTGGTGACCTACACGTCCCTCCTCCTCTGAGCCTCAGCTTGCCCATCTGTAACTGGGGCTCAGTGTTTCCCAGAGTAGCTGGGCAGGGCTGCCCTACCTCCCCCAGGCCTTGGTGACATGCCCCCCCAAGCAATCCACTGCTGGCCCCACACTTCGCCGTGTGACCAGCAGACATGAGGGAGGGGAGGCCAGATCGCTTTTCAAACAAAACGGTATCAGATGTGTGATTTGATATATATATATATATATATTCCTGGCAACAGCTTGAGCTGCGCTCAGGCCTGGGTGGGGGAGGTGGAAGAGAGGCCATTCCAGTGGCTTAAAACACCCCCAGATAAGTGTGCAGTGATTAAGTGCCACCATTAGCTCTAATGGGCAATAATTGGCGATGAGAAACAATTTTCTAGGGCACCACGGCCCAGTGCCCCACACCCTGGCCCCAGCGGGGACAGCTGAGGGCTGATTAACTCCTGGGCAGGAGGAAATGTCGGAGGCACAAAAAAGTTTCCAGATTCGACCGTAATTGGAAGAAGTGATTTCACTTTCCACAGCAGGCTGATGAGGGGCCACCCACCTGCTGGCGAGGGTGGGGCTCACGCATGCTTCCTGTCTACCGTGGAATGAAGTGACACCCCACTGCAGTGCAGGGAGCCATGTGGTGGGGGTAGGGGGTGGAGATGGGGCTGGGCTCATCTCCCCGGAGTTTCTCCTTAAGACGCTGGAGAAGGCGCCCCTGCTGGCTGGCAGAGGCTCTCCAGAGCGCTCCACCCTAGCAGGAGGCCCGGGTCCTTCACTTAACACCATGGTCAGCCGGGCGGTGGTGGCGCACGCCTTTAATCCCAGCACTCGGGAGGCAGAGGCAGGCGGATCTCTGTGAGTTCGAGGCCGGGCTGGACCGATAGCCTCCAAAACAATACAGAGAAACCCTGTCTGGTAAAAACCAAAAAAAAAAAAAACAAAAACAAAACAAAAAAAAAAAAACACCATGGTTGTGCTCATGTCTCCACTACCTTCCCCTCTGCCCCTGGAAGGGG